AATTGGTATGCATTAAATAAACTCTACACCCGGGAAAACAGATATCTTTATTATTGAGTATAAAGTCTGCCATCGTCGAGAAAGCCACACAATGAGCTGTACTTTTTGCTTTATTATTCTTGCGTGATTTTGTAGTAATTTTTTCAGCATCATTAGGGACCTTATTAGCAAAATAACAATTATTAATGCAAAAATATCAAACAGATCAGATAAGATAAAAACAAATACATCTTGGACCTGAAATCATAATGGTAAATGGATGATAAAGAATCATTGGTGTTTATTAAATTTCTGGTGCCTCCTGTGTAGATTGTGGCGGAATCGTTGTTATATTCTCTTGTTGCTGCGGCAGCGTTGATATATTTCACTGTCCTTGTGGTAGCGGTGGTGGTGGCGGCGCCGGTGGCGGTGGCGTGCAATACGCTACGTTGATTTCTTTATGTTTGCCGCGTTGATGTCGTAACATGACATCTCTTCTAGAAAAGTCTTGTAGATGATTTGGACACTTGCTCATGTTGTCTCTCTAACGTTTTGTATTAGATGATCAGCTAAGGTTGTTTTATTAAAAATATATACTCGTCAATTTGCCGTGCGCAAAATCGAAAGTGGAAAATTTGAACAGAAGACCAGATGTACAGACTGTTATCAATTGATTAACCATTCATATCATAAGAAGCCGCATATAAACTACTGTAGTAGTTGCAGGGACTATGTGAATGACAAGCGTTTATGTTATATACAACCAGCCGAAGAAGATGATGGTATCCCGTACAAAAACATGCAAACAGGGAAATATATTTTCTTTGACATAGAATGTACTCAGGTCAATCGCCTGGAGTATCATTAAGGGTACTTATCTAGCGTAAATAATAGGTGTTTGAATTGTAAGACATCATGGTGTGGATCAATGGAATATAGTTCAAATTTTTGTGTGACGCACAAGGTATGTGGTGCTTGTATGTCATATAAGGTTACTCCCTCTTCTGAATGCGCTACATATGGTAACAAGGAGAGGGTATTTTCTGGCACTAATACGACAGAGTCCTTTTGCAAGTGGTTATTTACCGCAGAAAATAAGAACGCTACTGTCGCATACCACAATTTCAAAACGGTCTTGTTACTGAGTATGTAAACAATTTTTTAAAGGTCAAACAAGAAGCAAGCGGTTGGCATGACTGGTGTAATACAGAATGAGATAAGCATGGTATATTCAGCAGTATTTGATAGGGAAGGTATCTTGCTTGAGCTCGATGAAATTAAAGAAAACCGTGGTCTCAGATTGCGGGCTAGAAATTAAACTCGTTCTGGTGAAAATTTGTCCAAATATCAAATTTGACTCAGACAACCTACATTGACAATCCAGTTCAGTTCATTGACATGATGACTTCAGACAAACAAGAAATCAAAAATGTACGTTTTATAAACGACAAAGCTGTGCAACTCGACTGGGCTTATACTAACGAATTCATAGAAGCTTCATGTAAAACCAGCGTTATTATTGCCGCTTATAGAACAGCCCAAGCCAGGTTAAAACTGTACAGTTATCTGAAACCAATAGGCGAAAGGGTTCTTTACTGTGATACTGATTCTGTGGTGTTCACCTCTGTATAGGGTCGTTGGGATCCCCATTAGGTGACTTTCTAGAACATGTACCAGATGAAAACAACAAAATTTGTGACGGGTGGGCCTAAAATTATGCTTATTGTCTAGCAACCCAAATAAAAAGGGTCAATCTTCAATTTGTAAAGTACGTGGTATTGTTCTTAATTTCAAAAATTATCTACACATTAAATGAAATGGTTACATGACAGAAGCAGAACACCTGTCCGAATGTTGTAGATGAAAATAAAATAGCTAGAAATACCAATACATGTAACATCGTTACAAAAACTGAAACCAAAGTTTATAACATTGTTTTTTGACAAGAGGGTAATCTCTGACAATTCCAACTCCTTCCACTATGAATTAAAAATAGCAAATATTATAGAAATCAATGATGATCTAGTCCTGATGACTTAAATGAAAATATATGTATATACGGTGTATTAAACCTATGTAATAAACAGGTTGTCTTTACATGATTTGCATATAAAACAAAAAAGTTCAAAATTTAAAAAGTTGTTTCGTTTTGATAAACCATCTGTTAAACGTCATTCACGATTACTGCTGATATGAAAGCGTTTGACTATTTCTTTTTATCATTCTGAACATTGCTAACAAAATATTATCTGACAATAAGAATGTATTTAATTTCTTGCGAATACTTACTGTCTCCTCTATAAATATATTTTTCTTAAAGCAGAGTAGGTTTTGGAAATCCCCGTCCCTAAATATAGGCTGGTATTGTGCAACACGGTTGAATGATTCAGATTTTTTACTAATCCAAAGTAGCCCTTTTGACTACTAATAAATGTGATTTTTGATACAAAACAGTACGTGTATGATCAACGGCATAATGCAATCCATTAAAATAATTCAAAAAACGGGTCCAACGTATGTACATTTAATGCCATGATAGCTTAATACATTTTTCAATAACATGTTATAAAATGCTGTGTAGTATCTTGAATGTTAACATTTCTTTTTTACTCCTATTTAATGAACACGCAGCTTTGAAACGTTTAAAAAATATAAACATTGTTATGTGAATTATTAATGCATTGAACTGTCAAATTATTGTATTCATATTTTTAAGTAGATCTGTACTAGATTATTTCCTTTGGTTAATTTTGGCTTCAACATGCTTGTATTATGCAGTTTTAATTGTTTATAAAAGTTCACTGGCATTTAGTGGACATTGTTTAATCTTGTATCATTGTATTCCTTTAAAAGATATAAAAAATTGAACCGATTATCTATAACGATATAGACATACCCACTGGTCCTGTGTAATAGTCATTTTTAAAGCAGCATGCCGTAAGGCTAAATTTCATGAACATTTTGAAAATGTTTTTATAAGAGCTAATGTGAAGTGTTCAAAGAAAGTAATTTACATATTGCAAACAGCACTAACAATTCACGGGAAATGCCTCAAAGATGACAACGCAGTAGGAATATGGTGATGAATTATGTAAAATCAGTAATAAATCGCACATAACTTAGGTAATTATTACTTGGCTCTTTAATGGTTTATTTTTTCTTAAAGGAATTAGACCATTTTTCTCAAGTTTGGTTTTCTTGATTGTTTTTGTCTTATCTGGATGCATGCAGCTTTAAAAGAGTAATAAAGATGGTGCTCTAGCAAGAAGTTAGTGCCTCGCATGTAGGCATTACAAAATAGGACTTTCCATTTATACTTATTTTTACAAAATGACAGCAAATCATTATACAAAATATAGATACTACACAATTTCTGGGAAACTGATGATCAGAGCTAATTCTTTGAAACTGACAGGTATTAAGTATTCACTTACGTTTGAAGGGGGAAAATGGAGAGTGAACTAGAAAAAAAAATGAAATTTAAGATTCAGATCAACTGATCATTTTTCTTAATTTCCATACTTTAGATTTTATACATGGTACATTTTATTACTTTTTTATTTTCATAATAGTGTACATATTTTATTCTAATATCTTTACTTATTTTGAAGCAAGCAGGTGTGCATTCCTACCAATAAATTATTGATAAATACCCCTCCCCCAACCCCCAGATTTCAGCGGAGTAATTCATTTAACGTGGGAGCAACCAATGAATCAAAGGATATTGGTAAACCAAGTTTATCAAAAACTATGAACGGTAATGCAATGAGTATGAACCGTGCTGAGCAATCACTTTTGTGTCCGTTTTTTAATTACCATTTTTATATTAATGGACGCCCAAGTATTTAGAAAAAAATCTACCAATTCTATGCGATTGTTATTTGCTGGAAAGTAAGATAGATATGACTGTCTTGTTCAAAAATCGACTATTAAGCTGAAAATATGTTGTTTTAGTAAGGCAATTGCATTGAAAAGTATTTTGATAATATTTGTGTCTGTTACCTTATTTACACTTGTAATTTTCGTGTGTCTTATTATAATGTTAATATCTGTTATATTAAGTAATAATCTTTAAAAAGCATTCATCAAGTTTGTCTTTTGTCTAGAGTTTTTATTTTCTTGTATATTTTGTATTAAATACTTTTTGTTTTGTAATCTACTTGTGAAAAGTATATTGACTTTTATCATATGTCTTAAAAATATATATTCCATATTTTACTCAGACGAAAAAAGAATCTGCTTAAACTATCACAAGTGGCGATAGATATGATAATCTCCATAATACGAAATGAAAATAAATCCTGTTTATTCAGAAAACCTTGAATTTTATGTTTATTACATGCTTTTTCTCCTTTTTTTACCTTGAGAGTCTTTAATGTTGTATATTGGCCGAATTTAGCAAAAAGTAGTCCGGCAAAATAGCAGCTAAATTACCGATAATATGTTTCACTGCAGAGAAAAAAAAACATTTACAATGAAAAAACAGAAAATGAAAGTATGCATTTTTTGTCATCAATAGTTCTCAATAGTTCGTTTGTAAGTATAAAAGAAACTAGTGATTATTACGGTGGCACAAAGGTGACATGTATGTGTCTCGTGCGCACGAGATATTATGTCGTGACCACGAGTTACTAGGTCGTGGCCACGAGATAACTAAGTCGTGTCCACGAGATACTATTATGTTAACAAAATGTCCAGTGTATTAATAACATCTTTCCAGCAGAAACAAAGTCAGTTAAAACGAAACAATTGTTTTTTACATAGTGACATCGTGAGCTTTTGTGTCTACCAAATTTGTTCAAATAAAAGCCCTGGTGTTAAAATTGGCCACACCCCGGTGGCCTATATACATGTGAGCGATACAGGGCCACTATGGCCCTCTTGTTTTATTGTCATTTGAAAATGTAAATACATGCATAGCTATGTTGCTTTATCATCACCACGATTAAGGTCGAATTCCCTATATCATACAAAAATATTCATTCTAAAGAAGGAAAGTTTGACGTTCACTTTTTTAATGGACTCTTTACAAATGAAAATTGTCAAATTTCAGGTTTTGAAATAATTTCTATCCATTGATCTTGCCAGAAAATGCTATTAATGTTTTAATTTAGGTCAAACGATACAATAAGGATGGGGAATAGCAACGGAAGTGAATTACCATCTACATCCTGTGACTGTACGGATGAAAGGTAAACAACAATACGAATATAACCGGGTTTATAAACAAACAATTTATATACAAGATAAATATTACATCATTAATGTATTCAGTTAAGTAAAAGCAAAACAAGGTATACTCGCACTAGCATATTGACATTGATGCAAAAAAAAGGCAATTCGTGCACCAGATCGTTTATTGTTTTTATTGTTGCTGTTGTTGTGGTTGATGTGGTTGGTCCGGCCGCCGCAATATGACCAAACATATGTTACAGTCGTCGAGAAAACCAACAAATTAACAAACAAATAGTAAGATACTTTTGTATAACGTTTGCCTTTCTTACAGAACACATGGAAATGCTGCACAATGCTTATCTCGTCTTTATCTCTCTGAGCATCTTTCTGACATCAACATTGTCTTCTCAAAGGATAGAAGTGTGAGACTCCCAGCTCATAAATTTGTACTGAGAATGCGCAGTAAAAAATTTAGAGATTTACTTTCAACGGGACAAAACACAATAGACATTATATCTGTAGAACCTGAAATAATGAAAGTTCTTTTGCGGTAAATATAGGATCAAACATAAGGTCCATTAGGTTCTTAGTTTTAACTGATAATTCATTAAGGACGCCATTTTTAAAAGTAAATATATGTCCCCAATTCCACGTATGTATGTATATACAGAAACAATTAGATTTCATCACAGTTAAATGTAATGATAAGCAAGACAGAAATATTCTTATTCAAATTGATAAATTCTAGTATGCAATTGGTAATTTATTTATTTCAATATTTCTTTTAATAAGTTTTAATAACTTTTAAATTATTTCAGATTTATCTACTCAGATGATCCAGAAATTAACAGTTCTAACGTTTTACCCTGCTGGCATGCAGCAAAGCTGTTTGCCTTGTGTGGACTTGTACAAAAATGTAACAACTTTCTTGAAAACACAATAGACGTTATTAACGTCTGGCAACATAATAGCCATGCCATCTCTTATGGAATAAAACCTCTTGAAGAAAAATGTCTTTCATTTATCTTGGAAAACGCAGCAAATGTTCTGTTTACGCCGGGATTTCTAGAATTATCTTTAGCTTCATTACTAAATATTCTCATGCAGGACGAATTAGCCGCCGATGAAGTGGAAGTATTTAAAGCAGCAATGAAATGGGCGGAACATCAGTGTGAGACCAAGAAGAGGTCTAAAACTGGGAGAAATATGCGAGACCAACTTAAAGAAGCAATGTTCGAAATACGATTTGCGACAATACCAATACCAGAGATAATAGGTGTTGTTACTCCCTCTGGAATCCTGACCAAAGATGAGAGGTTAATGCTTCTTGAGTATATTGCAAAACCAGACACGGAACCTCCTCCTGAAATAAAGAAATTCTGTAAACGTAAACGTACGGGCGTACCAATTACAACTGATCGTAGACGGCATGATAGTTCTGAGATTGAAGACGAGGAAATTGAAAACGAATAAATGCATAAGGCCTAGTTACCCATTGATAAATAATGCAAAGCAAATAGGATGTCTTGGTAAATAATTACTTTTAAAGTTAAAATAAAGGTCGGAGACTTTTTCACTTCTCTGAGGTTAAATTTCTCTAAAATACTGATTAAATATACTGATATGAAGGCAATCGATAGTATAATGCAAACCAGTAAATATTAATATAGTACACGTAGAAGTGAACAGTGTCAGATAAAACACCTAACAGTTAAATAGAAAAAAAGTTTGTTTGTTTGTTTGTTTTTTTTTTGTTTTTTTTTTATTATTATTATTATTATTATTAATTTTCTGTGTTCTTCCGACCGGTTTTGTTGTGAACATTGTCTCTTTTTCAATAACACACTTTTACTTACAAGAAAGGGAAATTAGTATAAATTGAAATTTAAATAATTCATGTTTACGTTGACGATGTCAGACCCTTCCCCTTATCCCCATGGATGTTCATGTAAAAATGGTTTTAGTTAACAATGTGTTTAATATTTCATTGATTATTTAGTTCTTTTGTAAATAAGTTCATAGGTTAACTTAATATGTGTTTCACATTTGACGGTGTGCATTGTTCCAAAAGTCTACTAAGTAAATTTGACATCTGTAAACCATGGGCGCTTATTGTTTCCGAAATCCTTTTGGAAACTGTGATTATTTAAATTTGTTGGCTGTTAAACATATGAGGCAGTAAGAGATAAAATTGGGACACTAATATCATAAGCTGGCGTTACTATTATAAAGACGATGTAAAAATAAACCATCTGTTAAAAAGAAATCAGCTTCAATAGAATGTTAATAAATCTTTGATTTTCTTTGTTATTAAATGATACATTGCTCCCCTTTAAAGTGCTTAAACAATTTAAACAATATTTACTTTTATTTTTACATTTTGTTATTATCATTTATAAAGTTTGGCTATGAGAAACATGTGCAAGTGTCGAATATTGATATAAACGTTTTTATAGTAAGAATGTCAGACTTATTCGCTTATTTATTTTACAGTTTTATAAATCACATGTTGTATTATAGCGTAATATTTAAATGCTTACTTTGCACAAACATTAAAATCTTTTAATTTTTTCGCTTTCTTAAAATTAAATTGGATTTTATTATTATTCTTTTAAATTGAAAACACATGTATGTATTTATAGTCTGAAACCTTTTTGTGTCATTTCGATCTATATGATATTATATTGGTGAACGCTTATTGTCATAACATTGTTATCGCCTCAACGGATGCCCAGTTAGTGTTTAGTATGGTGTTTATTGTATTTCGGACGTTTAAAATGTCTTTATATTGTAATTCATTAAATTCACTTCGTTGCAATTTTTATATTTTTGTGCAACAATGCTGATTCAAATGAAGCATATATTAATAATCTTTCCTTCCGATAGCTATGCATTTATGTTCTGCATTTGTATTGTGTTATTCATGTGCATATTATATTTGGAATAAAATATGTTTAAATCAAAGACTGTTGCAGACAGATCTCAGCAAAGCAATGTGCTCTCCCTTATTTGAATGGGGCGGGGGCATAATAACAGTCATTATATCTGTAGATGATTCTCAGATTATATGATATAATAAATTTGGTGTTTCAACATAATAGACTATGCAAAATTTATTCGTCTACTTATTGTCTCTGTAAAATTTAGTTATCATTTCTTTGTCATCTTTCACAAAGCGGCACTCCCTTTTTGTGTTCTATTTATATCTTTAATGGTATGTTTAATAATAAGACGTCATGTGCACTTTTGTGTGCTTCTACTGAAATATGTAACAGAAAGAGCATCGAACACGAGGCTATCTGATTTGTACGAGGAGGCGTAGCCCCCGAGTATTAATCAGATTGCCGAGTGTTTTTTTATTTGTTTTGTATCATATAGTCAAACATAAAAACACGTTCCCTGTTGTCACAATATGGAACCCCAGAAATAAGTGACCAATGAACGAGCATCTGAATATGATATTTCAATCGCTAAACCCCTGCAAAAATTAGCCAAACAATGGGCATACTCTGGAGTGCTGATACTTAATACCTGCACTCCAGTAAACGCACTGTGCATGTATATGTATACGATTTAACTCTGACACATTTTCAACAGAAAGATCCCCAAACTATTATACAATTTATAGATATCCTGAGTCCTGACCCAATTTCGGATTTATTCATTGCGAATTTTACAATTTTACACTTTATAGAAACCAAAGGGATCTTATTTTGACTTGTTGAATTCACGGCGTCTCAACGCCGTGATATTGTGATGGGTAGTTTTCGGTAGCATGGGCAAAAGTCACGTGACAAAATTCCTTTCGATTTCTACAGCCGACATTTTATTGGCTTTTTACGCAATCATTGTACAGCCTATTTCCGTGCAAAGTTACATAAAAACATTTTCCTTTCAAATCATATACATTACAGTATTTTTATCAACACGCGAAATATCAGCGTGATATATTTACACAATTTCGCAAATCCTTTCGACACACTTGAGAAGTTTGAATACTAAAACCCGGATTTCGAATATCGTTGTGGTCTACATTGATGCCGTACATGTATCCATTCGTTCATTCATTTATATATTTTCAAAATTTTCCTACAAGAAGAAAGTTCACCTGCCAATTAGTATAAGGATAGGTAATGAACTATTATAAACGATTATCCTATTAATTTTTTATAAATTACGTTTATCTGTTTGCACAGAATGGTTTTTTTTTACAAGGTGTACCAGTATCCGGATGTTGAAAGCTATCCGATTTTCTGTAAAACTGCTGTAACATGGCCATCTATTTTTTTATGAATACTTTACCATGAATTTGTATGGCTTAATAAAACTGAGCCTGCAACATTTCTTAATTTTGATGTTTGGGGTGTTCTTTTGGGTTTCAGGTTTTCTCTATTTTAAGGGGAAGTAACTCATGTTTACTAAATTATCTGTTCTTTTCTGTCTATCTTAGGTTGAAGTTAGGTATTACTTACTATTTTTGTTTTCATAAATTTACCAGTTGTAGGTATTAATCAAAAGCATAGAGGCCATGATGAGTGAATATTGATATATTTTTTTTTACTGGCTTTATATACCTTAGACCAGATATTTTTCTAGTTTGTTCAGTTAGCACATATACTATAGGTATTCTGCTAGAGGAATATTCTAATCAATATGTGAAATTATTATTTTGTATGTGTTTGTATGTAAATTGCTCATAAAATAACCTTTGTTAAAATGAAAAGGTAGACTATTTAAGCTATACATATGGGTGCTCATTTTAAACACTTGATATATATACAGTTAGTTTTATAGTAAAGTCTAATGAGGGACAGTATTTGTTACTGTAAGAGATATGCATTTAATGTTTAGAAACTCACACAACTTAATCTTTATTATATAATTTTTATTGAGATTTTTTTTTTAATTTTTATACTATACAATATCATGTACATTACAGTTTTCTTTCTACAAGATTATGAATTCCACCCAAACACCAATGTTAATAGGATGTTATATTTATTTTTAATGGAACCTGAGAATTATTTATGTAATGTTCATACAAGTGTATCATAGTATATGGATATAATGTGTATTTCTGTATTTAAAGACTTTACAGTTATGATGGATGAGACTTGCATTTAAATTTATAAATGATAATACATAATCAGTCTACAGGTTAAAGATGTTAATACCCAGTGTTAGCTGGCTAATAATAGTATCTATAACAGAGTTTATATATTATAGTTTTCTTTCTACTAGATTTTGAATTCCATCCATTAGTACCTGAATGTTAATGTTAGGATTTCATATTTATTTAATAGAAACTGGGAATTATTAATGTTATGTGCATACATGTATATCTTAGTATATTGATGTGATGAGATTTATAATATTTCTGAATTTAAAAGAGTTACAGTTATGTCATTATTATTAAAGATTGAGACTTTCATTTAAAGTTAAAAATGGTAATACATGCATTGATTGAAAATGTCCTGAATCTCAAATGGATCCAGCAATATAATTGATAAAGTCTCAAAACAAATCATATTCTGAATAGTTACATTCTATTTTTTTTCTAACATGTGCATAGTTTGAAAATGGACAGCTTCTGCCTTATCTAATGGAGGGACACCAGTCTCAATCTCCAGGTCTCCTGAGTCAACCCGACAACATACTTTTCATAGAGTAGATTGTTACTTGCCCTTGAATAAATTTGTACACTAAATTTTATAGTGGATGATTTAATGTGCCACATGAAAACCAACATGAAGTACAAAAAGTAACCAGGCGCCAGATGAAAACATGAAAATACAATCTACCACGAAGTGGTTCGTTGGTTGCATAATTTTCATGTTTTGCCCGGTGCCCTCAATGATGCAAAATACAAATCAGTCTTCATAAAATTCTTATCATAGAAAAAAGGTTAGTTTTTTTTATCTGTACAAAAATAGATATTGTACATGAATTAGCACAGTTATGTTCACTTTAAAATTAACCTGTTATAAATAATGGCACAAACCAATAACTCTCTAAGCCCTTTATAGTAAAAATAATTATACAATGGTATATAAATTGTTATCTTAATTAAGACTATATGAGTATGTAAGGTTTTTTTTTATTTATTAATTAAGAATTATTTATCTGTTAATTTGAAAATCTAAATATCTGTCATGGTTAAGAACTGTTCACTATTTAGGGGAGAAAATGTGTAAGTGGCCAGATAGCTCAGAACATTATTCTGTGGGTCACAGGTTTGAGTTTATAATGGTGAAGCTGAAAGTTTTTATCATCCTGTGACTGCATATAACCATGAGTTTAATTCACTATGCTCTGTTAACATCAGAAATTAAAGGAAATTAATCAATATAGTGGAGAAATATGTTGTGGTTTAGAACTGTTTCATTATCTAAGAGAAAATGTGTAGCCGGCCAGATAGCTCAGTTGGTCTTCTGAAAGTCATGTGTTCGAGTCATGGTCAGGCAGTTTCAGTCAGGGTTTAGAAGTGGGTTTGCGACTGGCACATGTTTTATTCATTTAATAAAAGTGCATTTAATTTGAAATGGACAAAGGCAGTATTGCATGATACTGTTAGATCTACAAAAGCATTTGATACAGTTGATCACACTATACTGCACATGAAGAAGTTCTTTTTTCTTCTTCTTAATGGAACTTCAAGCATCTGCCATATGTAATGACATTCTTACATGGTTCAAGTTTATCTTTGATAGCAGCTGGTTGATGTGGCTGGTACTCCTTCTACTTCTGCTCTGAGTACCTATGGTGTCCCCCTG